ATTTTGCCACATTTCAGGCTTCAAACATAAAGATATAAAAGTTTAATTTTTTGTCATGAATCAACAACAAATGGGACACAATCGTGAAATGGAACGAAATTTATTGGATAATTTCAACTTTTTTAACAAATAAAAAACTGAAAAGTGGGGCGTGCAATATTATTCGGCCCCTTTACTTTTAGTGCAGCAAACTCACTCCAGAAGTTCAGTGAGGATCTTTGAATGATCCAATGTTGTCCTAAATGACTGATGAAGATAAATAGAATGCACCTGTGTGTAAACAAGTCTCCGTATAAATGCACCTGCTCTTTGATAGCCTCAGGGTTCTGTTTAAAGCGCAGAGAGAACCATGAAGACAAAGGAACACACCAGGCAGGTCCGAGATACTGTTGTGGAGAAGTTTAAAGCCGGATTTGGATACAAAAAGATTTCCCAAGCTTTAAACATCTCAAGGAGCACTGTGCAAGCAATTATATTGAAATGGAAGGAGTATCAGACCACTGCAAATCTACCAAGACCCGGCCGTCCCTCCAAACTTTTATCTCAAACAAGGAGAAGACTGATCAGAGATGCAGCCAAGAGGCCCATGATCACTCTGGATGAACTGCAGATAACTACAGCTGAGGTGGGAGAGTCTGTCCATAGGACAACAATCAGTCGTGCACTGCACAAATCTGGCCTTTATGGAAGAGTGGCAAGAAGAAAGCCATTTCTCAAAGATATCCATAAAAAGTCTGATTTAAAGTTTGCCACAAGCCACCTGGGAGACACACCAAACATGTGGAAGAAGGTGCTCTGGTCAGATGAAACCAAAATCAAACTTTTTGGCCACAATGCAAAACGATATGTTTGGCGTAAAAGCAACACAGCTCATCACCCTGAACACACCATCCCCACTGTCAAACATGGTGGTGGCAGCATCATGGTTTGGGCCTGCTTTTCTTCAGCAGGGACAGGGAAGATGGCTAAAATTGATGGGAAGATGGATGGAGCCAAATACAGGACCATTCTGGAAGAAAACCTGTTGGAGTTGCAAAAGACCTGAGACTGGGACGGAGATTTATCTTCCAACAGGACAATGATCCAAAACATAAAGCCAAATCTACAATGGAATGGTTCACAAATAGACGTATCCAGGTGTTAGAATGGCCAAGTCAAAGTCCAGACCTGAATCCAATCGAGAATCTGTGGAAAGAGCTGAAGACTGCTGTTCACAAACACTCTCCATCCAACCTCACTGAGCTCGAGCTGTTTTGCAAGGAAGAATGGGAAAGAATTCCAGTCTCTCGATGTGCAAAACTGATAGAGACATACCCCAAGCGACTTGCAGCTGTAATTGCAGCAAAAGGTGGCGCTACAAAGTATTAGCGCAAGGGGGCCGAATAATATTGCACGCCCCACTAACAATAAATTATCCAATACATTTTGTTCCACTTCACGATTGTGTCCCACTTGTTGTTGATTCTTGACAAAAAAAAAATATTTTTATATTTTTATGTTTGAAGCCTGAAATGTGGCGAAATGTTGAAAGGTTCAAGGGGGCGAATACTTTCGCAAGGCACTGTATATATATTCACAGTTCGGTGACTTTCTAAAAATCACTTATAATCGTCAAGTAAAATTCAAGATTTTATGTTAAATAAATGAAAATAATAATCTAACGTGTGAGAAAGATTTAATAACTTTTAATAACCCCAACCTTCTGAATAATAAATATTTTAGGCAGTTATAGATAAGTCATATCTGTTGTTTTATCTGCTGTTATGTTGAGATATGACCTACCACTAATCACATTTAACACAACCAGTTACTACAAGTGTATGTGAAGTAGCTGATAAAAAAACGTAAATGTTGCTGGATACATGTATCAGTAAAATAATATAAATACCTTAAATAATGTTATATAAATAAAATGGGCAATGATCATGAAATTGAAAAATCTAATTTTATCAAGCCTGCATGAGTTTTATATTGATTAAAAAAGGCACTGTTAGGCATTGTTCTATTACAAGAGTAAATACAAAATTAAAAGAGTAAATACTTAAAATTAAATACTTAAAAGTACTCAGTGCTAATTACTCACCAAACAGGAGCACCAGTCTCCACTCACTCTATGAAATGGGTGAAGTCTGGTGTGCTTCTGCTTGGTTGGATGGAAAACCTGCAGCCACTCAGCCATTGAGGACCAGCTTGAAGACCACTCTTACCCTTCCCGTTCATGTGCCCGTTAGACTATCTGCAGCAGTAGTTCTAGCTAAGCTCCAAGTACGCACGTCATTATGCACAGGTATGATATCACAAAACACACTGTTCTTAATAATTTCTTAAACATGTTGACAAAATTGACAGACTTTCACGTGACAATCAATTGTAAACATAAGTTTTAATGCGAAGCAGATACAAGCCCCCCGGCGCTGACACTCAAGGTCCCTGGACTTGCAAACAAAGGGACACAGTGCGAAAACATTACCTTGTTTTATTGTTGTATTTATTATGTTTTGTATTAGGTTTAGTCTAGTCAAACCAAAAATCTAATTGTCACAAAGTACAGTGATCCCTTAGCTAAGTATAAAGACTAAGGGGAAAAATCCTTAATTAAATTCAGTCGTCCTTTTAATCCCGTACCCCACTTTGAAACTGATCACTGGCCTAATGCACAGATGTCATTACACAAAATTAAAGTTTAAAAACAACTTTCTCCTACATGTATATATGTGGGGGACTTTATCCTTTATGAAAATGGGGCAAATAATTCATGAAGTGGAAACTTGCCAAAAAAAATCTAAAGATCAGAGCAGTTAAGTGTAGAATGGTCTGACAGGAGAATATAGAGATAAAGGAAAAGAAAGGCAAGGGATATCACTGTATTTCTGGGGAGGGAGATGGACTGCATCCAACCAAATGCAACTCCAACCCATCCAACAGGAACGTTTTTTGTTCATCTGAATTAATCCCACAGACAGTGCAATCCTTTCAAATTCTCCACAAATGTTAAACTTCAAGCCGCAACGAATGTATATCTTCAAGTTGGAACAAGTTGGAAATGCAGACAACAATTTTAAAAGTTATGTAATAATACTGCTTCTATAAAAGAAAGACGTTTTACCAACACCATGTTGTTTTGAAATAGAAAAATGATCTATGAATTAAGTTTACTTGGATGCAAGTCTTTTGATACAAAAAAAATCAAAACATTTTAAATGCATCTGATTTCTTCATTTAGCCAACCCAAAGCATTGGCCCCTGGCATCAGCATTGGCAGATAGCCAAAGCTCATAGCTCTTGATAGAGCTTAATGTAAATCCCATCCATATGTATAATACCTGTGCAAAGAATAAGTGGACAAATGCCATACGGCTCTCATTGATATACCAATTTTTCACAGACTGCCAGTGAATGTGATGTTAATTCCATGACAGACAGGCGGGATAACTAGTAAAGGTATATTTGAGGTATAAATACATAAGTACAGTATTTTCTTTTTAGCACTTGCATTGTGGCATATAATGTGTATTCTGAGAAGAAAACCTTTTTGGTTCTACAGCATATGTAATAATATTAACTTAACACTTCTAATGTTGATCACAATTTGAGATTATTTATATATATTCCAAAACATCAGCATTTCACACATATCAATGTACTTTTTCCAGACACACAAGAAAAGTGTATGAAATGTAAATGGGATACAACACATGCTAATCTTTGTTTCTTGGCAAAGGTCTGAATTAATTACAAACATATGTGAGGCAGCCCTTATCCTTCAGGGTAGGTTATAAATATGAAACAATTCTCACATTCTGAGATTAGACCTCGATGTACATTTATCTTGTTCCAATGGCCCACATGAAATGCATATGTGCACACGCTGGAGATAGCGGGTAGTTACATTTTAGGGGAAGGTAAAAAAAATCTGTGAATTATACCTCGGGTAAAATACATTATAAAAACAGATACACCAGCACAAATAAACACTCTGCCCATACACACTTTGAGAGGGAAATTCAAAACCATTTTATCACAGAGTGGGAATGTCTCCTGTTAATCCTTTCTGACTTCATACATTCAAAGGTCACCTCACACATCAAGTGTGTGTGCAACCACCACTTTGTAGGAATGAGAAGCCTATGTTGTGCTGTATATGTCAACAAACCATGTCTATCATTACTTACAACCAATATAGTTGGCTCTTCCTTCACAGCCATCACAGAACTCATTCTTCCACCAACTCTTCCTTTAGAACTGAATATTTATACCTACTCCTGCTACCTTTCCCCAATTCATTCTCCCAAACCATCCAACTCTTCCTACCCCAGTTTCCAGAAGCAGCTCTTGGTGAAGTGCGCCCCACCACAGGCTACTGGCTTTGGGTAATTAAAGTGGTTAGGGCCCCCTCACCCACTGTCACAGGCAACTGCAGCTGGGTGATAAAGGCACTGTGCCATAATTACATGGGCGGCCAGCATCACCGCCCAGCTACACTAAAACAGTCAGCTAGACAGCAGCCTAGGGAAGGAGGACCAGTGTGTGGAAGGGACTACGCAGTCCTTGGCTGTGTGCTGGGGAGCGCGCAGTGAGTCGACACCCCCTTGTGATCGCTCTGCTGTAGTTAAGCCTTCTGTGTTTAAGCTGCACATAGCCCCAGTGAGACTTTTACAGCCTCTCTTTCCCACACCACCCGCCAATCATTTCTCACCAGTGGTCTGTTTCCAACCATGAATGCATGTGACCATCAGCCATTTAATTACAAACCAAAATGATTTTGGTTAATTTAATAGATAAACCCATGCACAACAGTTCAGTAAACAAATACCTATACTTAAATAAGAGCTAGGAGCACAGAAAACAGAGGAACGGGAGTTGTGCAGGTGGAATAGCTAAGAGTGGAGTTTTAAATCGAACGTAAAATGTAAAGCATAAAATATTGATTTGAAAACCTGTGCTGATTTCGTAGTTTGCTCCACCATTGCCTCTGTTAATACAGTATTAATGTAATTTACCTTAGGGGAGCAGGAAGCCAGCTCTCTCCCCATGACTACAGCAACAGAGCTTGGTCCTGCTGGTCTGGCCCTCTCCTTGTCTGGATCAGGACTGGGTTTAGGAGCAGGGACAGTGGCGCCAGCATTGGGACTGACACTCGGGGGTGGGGGTGCTCTCCTCTTCTGGCTGCTCCCCACATCCAAAGATGAGCTGCCAATGGGAGGTTGTACAGGGCTGGATGTCCTTGGCTCGAAGAATGGATTGGATCTGGGATTGAGAGAAGGAAAACAAAGGGATCATGTTAGCATGAATTGAAAATAAACTGCCATTTAAAAGGCCACTATGTAGTATTTCTTTCAAAGGGCCCTTAAAAATTATTTCCTTGGGTATAGAGAACATTTTGAAAAAGGGATATTACAAAATGCCATTAGTGGGGTCTTTAAAGAATGATGAACAACATGTTTTGTAATGGTTATTTGATTTGAGGAAATTACTTATGTATTTGATACATTCCAACAGCTGCTCAAGGGGAATCCCCCATAAACGTATTGTATGGACATTTTTCAACATGTGTTCTATATTCTTTGTGTGTTTTAACTGTTGATTCTATGATCTGTGTTGGTGATTTCAATGGTTTTGTTAAGTCCTCTGAAATGACTTCTGTTGTGATTTAGGGCTATACAAGAATACATTTTATTGTATTGTATTGTAAACGAATATGTGATTCCTCCAATCATTGATTTGACGGCACTAATCACTGAACACAATTTCCTTACCTTTTAGCTATTGGAATGTATCAAATATATGATGGAAAGAACATTAAATTAAGTTGAATAAACGATTAAGTATAACTAGATTAGTAAGATTTTTACATATATCCTGCACGAGAGGTTTTTTGGAGTGGAGTTTGCATGTTCTGCCCATGTCTGCATAGGTTCCCTCAAAGTGCTCTGGTTTCCCTAAGACTAAAAACAAGTCGTATACGTCAAAATTCACAGAAATTTGATCTCACTTTCATACACATCACAAGAATTTAGCTTTCAGTTGCAATAGATCCTTCAGTCATGACAAAGTTGAGCATCAACATTTGGGGATGGGTCCCGGGAGTAGCACTGTGATGAACAATGCTCCTGACAGGTTGCCCTTGTGGCATTGCAGGATGGGTCAAATGCAGAGGACTAATGTCCATCCATGTTCCAAACTTGAGAGAACACGCATGATAAATAAATCAGTGTGTGGTGTGCAGCCACATGGCAAAATCAATACATCACACACAGTGCTTTTCCTCACAGCTATCCCAGGTCAGATGGTCTCGAGAAGAATACTATATTAATTATGTATTTAAATAAAACTATATAAATAAAGATGACTTATTTATTTAATAAGAAAAGTTACCTTAGGACCAAAAAAATATGGTGGACAAAGAAGGGTTTTGTTTGTAGTACTTCTAAATCTGCAGAAAGTGTTGTATTACAATCTACACGTCTATTGGTTTGATTGTAAATGATTATGTCAACACTAAAGCAAAGATCATAAATCATAAAACACAAGTTCACAATGTCATCCAGCCGACCTCAGCTCTGCTTATATACAGTACATCTCATGTCTCATTATTTTGAAGCTTAGAAGATAAGATAAACTTTATTGATCTCACAATGGAGAAACTCAAGAATTCAGAATGTAAATGTAAATCAATATTATCATTGGCCTTTAATTGACTTGCAAAATAAATTGTTAGCATAGTTTGTATGCTCATTGTTTTTTTAGTCGTTCCCTAGATTAAATCACAAAAAAGTAATTGCCCGCCAAAAAAGTTCAGGCCAGGGATGTCAGGAAAAGTGGAGTAATACAGAGATGGGCTGAGCAATTGAACAGCTCTAACAGACCATCGCAGACAAAAAGACATGTGAAAAGAGAGCAGTCAAAACACTGGGTTGCCCTCTTGAACTCCTTCATTCTGTCAAAAACTGCTCTTGTATCAGGAACCAACGGAAAATACTTGCCAGTCAATAACTTGTCTGTCTTTAGCAGAGAGGACAAAAACATATAGCCATTTGTCTGACGGTTTCACTCAGCAGTCGTGACCTGGTGGTTTACATTTACAACTTAGCCATGACCACTCACTAAGGTCAAACAGGCAATCAGCGCAACATTCACAAGAAAACAAAAGGACAGATGCAAGAGGCAAAACATATATAAAATAATGTTATAATAGCAAGAAGTAATGTTCAGAAAAGTAATATATTTTTTTACTTCATCTACAGATAAGGACTTTGGTGAAGTGAGGTGGTAGTTGTGATGAGGGGGGTTTAAAGGAATGAAGAAAAGTAGGAGGGAAGGAGGTAGACAAGCTTAAAGAATGCGATGAAACAACAGGGGCCTTGTTCCTGTTGAAAGAGATGCTTCCCTCTGCCCGCATGTCTGTGTGGTAGAAGGTCTGAATGTCCATGCCAATAAGATGTGCTACCCCTCTCTTTATTGGGACACTTAAAAGTTGAAGACAATGCAAAATTATTCAACAATGCTGTCAGCACTTTTTATAGTTTAATGACTTAAATTGTAAAAGAAAATTGCAAGAACAGCTTTGAATAATTTAACCAAATGTCAGCGCATTTCATTGTTTCTTTCAGCACTCCAACCCTTTGAATTAATGACACGCTTTTTACTTAAGTCTTCAAGTGTATGAAGCATTAATTGACAGGTGGCACTTTATTATGCAATTCTATCTAACAAGTTCAGAGAATGGAGAAAAAAACATTGAATACGTCCAATACATGGAGGATTAAGTCTTACTCATCAAGCTCGTCTTCGTTGCGGTTTTGGGCAGTTTCAGCGTAGAGATACTTGCTCATGTCGACAGGCCGCACAGCTTTCATTTGCTTGGGTATGGGGGGCTCAGAGCTGGGGTCTGGGTCTTGGTCTGCGTCTTCAAATGGGTTTCCTGGTGTGTCTGGATCTTCAGACTCATTAAATGGATTTGAGGAATCATGTTCATCTTCTTGGTGCCTAGAAACTGGCTGGATAGGGGTCACTGTTTTCAAAAAAATAAACAAATTAAAACGGGAAATTACTAGTGGTCATTCTAATGGCTTATTCCTTCTATACATTTCCAACTCAACAGTAGCCTTCAAGCTAACTACATAGTATGTAAAGTACATGTTAATCTTATTAATATATTTTAAGTTTTATATGAATCCGTGAATCATTTATGCTTGATTGGTGTCCTTTTATGTTATGTGGGTATTATCCTCATACATCTGAGGATAGATAATATTTACCCAAATAATAGCTTGTTAATGTTCACCTTACCTTCCTCATCAGGCTCTTCAAAAGGATTGAGGTGGTTGAGATCTTGGAGGTCATTTTCAGCCTCGTCAAATGGATTAATACCCAGAGCGGGAGGTGCATCTTGATCTTCATCTTCCAAAAAGTTCAGCTTGTTGATCAGTTCTATTGCAAGGAATTCATGTTAGGTTTGGCATCAACTTGCATCAAAATAAAGTAATTGATATTAAAACGACAAACACATCATGCTGCACTTGAGGGTGAACCACAAAACAAAGTACATTTAATAGATTCCCCACATGAAAATTAGTTTGGGAATACTAAAGCAGTTAAAATGTATGCATATATAACCAACTGCTGCCACCAATTGGTGACAATGTCACTAAGTCTTCTGGGGAAAAATGCCAATGCATTTAGTTGCATTGGTTGCTTTGGTATAGTACAAAGAGATTGTGGAGTTTAGTTCACTACAAGTGCAACAAAACAAAAAACAAAACTGAAATAAATTCACAAAAACATCACAATGGGCCGAAAACAAAATTGACACAATAACAACACAATGTAACTCAAACTGGGAAAAAGGAACAGGCGAATTCAAATACCCATTGGTGAAAAACAAGAGGTAAAGGAAGAGTGACTGATGAGAGTTAAAGAAAAGAGAAAAAAAGACCTTGGGATGAAGCGGCAGGCTTAGCTTTGCGTGCTCGCTTTAGGAAATCATCATCATCATCATCCCCATGTAAGCAGCTCAGGGCATTCAACTGGTTTACTATCTCTGTAAACGGCAGGCCCATACAGGAGAGGTGGTAGATAGGACAGCAGAGAAGACAAAATAACACGCAAAATTTTACATAACAGCCAAAAATAACTGTTACATTTGAGCTGGAGTAAAAGCAAACACGCGTACCCAATAGTGGAAAAGTCTGCTGGACACCGTTTTCTGTATTCAAGATAATTAAACTTCTATACATTCAATAATGTAATTTAGACTATGTTGTGGCAGCCAGATGAGTCTTGAAAAACAGTGAATATACAGTGTCCAGGTGACACACTCCACTAGGCCTGTAACAATTTTCAATTACTGTGGACAATATATTGAACACTACTAAATGCCACTGATGTATGTACAATACAGCAGGATAACCCCAGTAAAGCAGTTTTTCTATTTGGTATATTCTTTGTAAATTTACTTTATTTAAAATTGAAAAAACTTTCTCCACTTTTGCAAAGAAGCTGTAGTGTAGTAACAGACAAATGTTGTGGCTCAAAAGATAATGTTTTGTCCACCAGTTATTGAACGAACAATGAAGTAGATATAGTAATTATCATGACATGCCTAGTCTCCACTATGGGCAACTCCTGCAGAATAACGTCATTAAGAATTATGTTCATTTTATGTGACACTACCAGACACGACAAAAGGACTTTTACCTGGCTATGCATACGGTTTGCATTCAAAAATGTGAAATTTGAGCAAAGCCATTCCTTTATCCTTTTAATCTTTGTTCCCGATTTAAACAAACAAGTATAGACCTTAAGTTAAAACATTTATCACTTGTTTTTGTGTGTAGAAATAATATCTTCTGCACAAAAAGAATAAACACATAACTTCATGTAACATGATATTGTACATGAACAGATTCTCAAAGATGGTGTGTGTTGTTTAGGCAGCAGGGTAAGACCTTTGATTCATGGATGCAACCAACTGAATCATGGCTGAAGACACTCAATGCACACACATACAAATGAGATAAAGGGCATAGTCGAAAGAAAAGAGGCATGGACTTAATTCAAAAGAGACGCTTCAAAGAAAGTTGGATTAAACAAAGCAGAAAGAGACTAGGAATAGACTATAGAATAAATAGTAAACTCAGTGTAGCCCATAAAAGGCAGCATACAGTGCAAAATAAGAGGATTTTGCAACTGAATAAAACCAAATTAATAAAATAAAAAGAAGATTTCACAAGATGAAGAAAAATGTTTTGAAAATAAAACTTTCTGAAATAATGCTTGCAATAGTCAGATCTTATCAATAGTATATCACAATTTAGCAAATTTATCTAAACACACATTTTACTTGAAAAAACAATGTAACAAAAATATTTATCTAAACTGGTTTTGCAAACTGTTTAATGAGTTTCATTCATATGACCACTAAAGCAGATTTTTAAACCAAGATAACTTTGTTTGTAAAAAAATTTAATTAAAAAAACACATGTATTCAAGCCATATTTACCTGTGATTTTTGCCGTTTTCTCCTCCTGATTCACTCTGTTCTCCTCATCCTCATCATTATCCTCTTCAAAATCATCCAAGTTGCCAATATCTGCCTGTTTCATACTCATCAAGCTGGCGAGACTCTGCATGTCTTCATCACTGAGTGGACAATAGAGTTAAAATATAACATAGGCTAAATATTACACATGTTAGATAAATGCAGTATCTGGCATTTTTATTTTATTTGGTGTGTCGTTATACAAAAAAAAAAAAATGATACTAAGATAGACTATAGAAAAGATTGAAAAATCAACAAAAAGCAGATTTTTTTTACATAAATAATACATTATAGTTTTTTTTCTGAATGGCACCACAAGGTTTTATACTAATCCCAAGATCAAAATCTTTCAAAACTGCTTAGAGATACTCACATCTTGTTTTAATTATAAAATATTTTTTAAGAGTGTCTATGTGATACTAGTTTTAGTACTGGTTAATATCTGACTTCTGACAACCCTACACAAGGTACGTCTCTTCTCTACATCTCCCCTCTGTCACTGCCATTATGTTCTGTGCATTGAACGCAGTTCTTTGTGGCAGTTCTTTGGGTGCTTCCAAGGCCCGTGGGCTCATTTGAACAGTGATAGAGTTTGTTTGTGTGGTCCGCATCATTTGGTGAAGGGTTAACAAGGGTTATGTACCATCAAGCTATCCTGCACACAAAGGCCAAGCCATGATTTTTTTCCCCAGTCATATGGCAGGTTGTCTTCCAAATAAACTTTTTTCCATCAAATTAGACAGAATAACGATATAGAGCCCAAATACAGTGCCTTGCGAAAGTATTCGGCCCCTTTGAACCTTTCAACATTTCGCCACATTTCAGGCTTCAAACATAAAGATATAAAAATTAATTTTTTTGTCAAGAATCAACAACAAGTGGGACACAATCTTGAAGTGGAACGAAATGTATTGGATAATTTAAACTTTTTTAACAAATAAAAAACAGAAAAGTGGGGCGTGCAATATTATTCTCGATTGGATTCAGGTCTGGACTTTGACTTGGCCATTCTAACACCTGGATACGTCTAGATTTGGCTTTATGTTTTGGATCATTGTCCTGTTGGAAGATAAATCTCCATCCCAGTCTCAGGTCTTTTGCAGACTCCAACAGGTTTTCTTCCAGAATGGTCCTGTATTTGGCTCCATCCATCTTCCCATCAATTTTAGCCATCTTCCCTGTCCCTGCTGAAGAAAAGCAGGCCCAAACCATGATGCTGCCACCACCATGTTTGACAGTGGGGATGGTGTGTTCAGAGTGATGAGCTGTGTTGCTTTTACGCCAAACATATCGTTTTGCATTGTGGCCAAAAAGTTCGATTTTGGTTTCATCTGACCAGAGCACCTTCTTCCACATGTTTGTTGTGTCTCCCAGGTGGCTTGTGGCAAACTTTAAACAAGACTTTTTATGGATATCTTTGAGAAATGGCTTTCTTCTTGCCACTCTTCCATAAAGGCCGGATTTGTGTAGTGCACGACTGATTGTTGTCCTATGGACAGACTCTCTCTCTCAGTGCCTTGCGAAAGTATTCGACCCGGCCGTCCCTCCAAACTTTCATCTCAAACAAGGAGAAGACTGATCAGAGATGCAGCCAAGAGGCCCATGATCACTCTGGATGAACTGCAGATAACTACAGCTGAGGTGGGAGAGTCTGTCCATAGGACAACAATCAGTCGTGCACTGCACAAATCTGGCCTTTATGGAAGAGTGGCCATTTCTCAAAGATATCCAATAAAAGTCTCTCAAAGTTTGCCACAAGCCACCTGGGAGACACACCAAACATGTGGAAGAAGGTGCTCTGGTCAGATGAAACCAAACTCAAACTTTTTGGCCACAATGCAAAACGATATGTTTGGCGTAAAAGCAACACAGCTCATCACCCTGAACACACCATCCCCACCTCAGCTGTAGTTATCTGCAGTTCATCCAGAGTGATCATGGGCCTCTTGGCTGCATCTCTGATCAGTCTTCTCCTTGTTTGAGATGAAAGTTTGGAGGGACGGCCAGGTCTTGGTAGATTTGCAGTGGTCTGATACTCCTTCCATTTCAATATAATTGCTTGCACAGTGCTCCTTGAGATGTTTAAAGCTTGGGAAATCTGTTTGTATCCAAATCCGGCTTTAAACTTCTCCACAACAGTATCTCGGACCTGCCTGGTGTGTTCCTTTGTCTTCATGGTTCTCTCTACGCTTTAAACAGAACCCTGAGACTATCAAAGAGCAGGTGCATTTATACGGAGACTTGATTACACACAGGTGCATTCTATTTATCTTCATCAGTCATTTAGGACAACATTGGATCATTCAAAGATCCTTACTGAACTTCTGGACTGAGCTTGCTGCACTGAAAGTAAAGGGGCCGAATAATATTGCACGCCCCACTTCTCAGTTTTTTATTTGTTAAAAAAGTTTAAATTATCCAACAAATTTCATTCCACTTCACGATTGTGTCCCACTTGTTGTTGATTCATGACAAAAAAGTAAAATGTTATATCTTTATGTTTGAAGCCTGAAATATGGCAAAATGTTGAAAGGTTCAAGGGGGCCGAATACTTTCACAAGGCACTGTAATTGCTTGTACAGTGCTCCTTGAGATGTTTAAAGCTTGGGAAATCTTTTTGTATCCAAATCCGGCTTTAAACTTCTCCACAACAATATCTCGGACCTGCCTGGTGTGTTCCTTTGTCTTCATGGTTCTCTCTGCGCTTTAAACAGAACCCTGAGACTATCAAAGAGCAGGTGCATTTATACGGAGACTTGATTACACACAGGTGCATTCTATTTATCATCATCAGTCATTTAGGACAACATTGGATCATTCAAAGATTCTCACTGAACTTCTGGAGTGAGTTTGCTGCACTGAAAGTAAAGGGGCCGAATAATATTGCACGCCCCACTTTTCTGTTTTTTATTTGTTAAAAAAGTTTAAATTATCCAATAAATTTGGTTCCACTTCACGATTGTGTCCCACTTGTTGTTGATTAATGACAAAAAAAAATTCTCATCTGCATTTATTGAAGAAATCACCAATTTCATTATTTCATTTTACAGCTGTTTGGACATATCAGCGTGACTTACGTGGCCTTCCCCTCACGGAGAAAGATGCAGGAGAGAGAGAACTGTAGTGTGGCCGATACCACCTTTTTGGAGAGAGGCTTAAACTTGAGTTTGACATCGGTTTGTGTGGGCATAGGGCTGGCATACTGCTTCATGTTGATACTGCTGGTTGCCAAGGCCTTTCTCCTTCCTGATGGTGACTCCTACAAACACATGGACAACAGATCACCCTTTGATAAACCTAATAATAAGAACCAGCATTTGTATGATCATTTTGAATAAGGACAGCAGAAAATTGTATATAAATATCTTTTTCTTAAAGGAAAAATTATTAGGGTAATTCTCTCACAGTAAAATTGACCTTAAAAATCCTCACAGATATAAAAAAGGTCCATGCTGAAACCATTTTACTACAACCGTGAGATATACTTTGAGCCAGGGGCAAGCAATCAAATTGGAATTTGGGAATATGTGACAGACAAGGAGATAAAGGTTCGAAATTCAGACAGACCCTTCACATATGCGCCTGTGTGTGTCCTCACTAGAGGACAGTGTGAAAAATGAGAACTGCTGCAAAACCTTGTCACTAAGTAAGATATGGAAACCAAACAGCAGGAGATGTTCCAGAATTTTGTCTGCCTCCAATGCTTTCAAAAACACATTTTCAGAGTTCACAGTTTATGTGCATTGGCAGATCTCAAAAACAATATCATTTTTATTATGTTTTATTTTTTAAACCTCCATTTAACAAAGAAGTCCCTTCTTTTTTGAGGGAGATTGAAATCTTTTCATTCTGCCTTTCATTCGCATATATTTAATTTTCTTTTCAATTAATAATTAGGTTAATCTACAAAAAACACATTGAAAACCAGTTTGGTAAAAAAGCAACTAAAAATATTTCCAGCATATAATATCAAGCCCCAAGGTTCATGCATGATGAAAGATACAGATGCAAACTGAGGTGTTGCTCAAGTGTTCACTAAGGCCAGCTGGAGTTCCCCCATGAATGGAGGTATCTGATTGGTCAATCCATATATAGCTCATATTTGGATTTACAAAAGAAAATATCAAAAAAAAAAAAAAAAAAAACATACAGCAAAAAACCATGGTTGTTTTAAGCCCAAAATGGTTAGTGTGACACAAACTGTCACTGCGCAAGAGAAATGTAGTTTTCAAGGTAAGCCAATATGAGCCAGTGAGAGTTGGAGCTAAACTTCATTCATGCACTTCCCTATTGGGCTTCGGTGAGATAGGGGTGAACATTGTCCATCCATATACTGTCCATCCAGTCTATGAATGTAACATGCCATTAAAATGCTAAATATAACAACAAATGTGAATCCACCGAGTATGTAACTTTAACATCATTGCAGGATATGTCTCCTTTTAGTCAAAAGCTAGCAGTTGACAGTAGGTATAGTGGTTGAAAAAAAACTATTAACATTCCTGGAATGTATTCGTTTTTTTAGGTAAGTGAACTTATAACCTTGACAATCACACCTACTTATTTTAGTCTTATTTTAGCCCAATTGAAATTGCCTCTTTTTAAAAAATGCATGTATCAGAATGATTGACCTAAGACAGATTTTCTGCTTTAGTTATGTCACATAAAGAATTAATGTGGTGCCATCAAAGCATCCTCCAAGTTAAGAGACAAAGACGAGCAAATTCTCTCTCTAACTCTTATCTTCCAGCAGATTACAGCCTGCTATTATACTAAGCTAATAGCGCATGCAGATACTTTATGAATGAATTTGTCCAAGGCACCAAACACTTTAGAGGAGGGGATTTAACAAAAAGGAGAATAGGGAATGGATGGGAGGAGAGGGGTATTGAAAAATAGAAAATACTAAAGGATATGCAAATACCTTTTGAAAGAATGGAATAAGTGTTTCAACAGATTTGAGTAGGCCAGCAAACAATGGGACTGTGCTCTATTTCCCTGGATGCCGCTTGTCAATCAATGCAGCTTGCAAGTGAATGTGCGTGTGTGTAACAGAAAGGTGGATGGGATTATGGAGGAAAAGAGGTTATGACATGATGTGTAAAATGAAAGGAAAGGACAATGCAGAAGTTTAATTTAATACTAAGAGGGCAGGACTATCAATATGCACTCTCCTCTGTGCACTGAGAAGGACTTAATACCCAAGTCCAATGTTTGTGGGAATGATAAAGTAAAAAACGCTGGAAAAAGACTGGAATAATGCCTTTATGTGTGCCACCCCCTGGCTGGCGCCAAGTGTTACTGCAGCTGAAAATCAAAAACAAGTGTTATACATTGAAAACTTTTGTTTATTCCGTTTGTATTTATTTCTAGTGAATAAATAACTTTTCATCAGAAGTATATAGTCATCTGTATTTTTAGAATAATATTTCTAAATTATTTTTGGAGCATCACCCATCATCAGCCTGTGCCAGGTGGCCCAGGATCGATGCAACCGTGCACCCTGGTGGGGGTAGAAGGGTCAGGCCAGGAAGGGGGTACTCAGAGTTTTACAGAGTCCCAAAATGCCAAAAGGACAGATCTGGAAAAAGGCGGGGCAGATTATTTTTTGTCACAGAGAGATGGATTAATTAAAATGAGCGCTAATAGAGTTTGGTGTCAGAAACTAGCAGCTGAGTAGCGTCAACTGGTGTTTCCAAGTTTAGCCCTGCGTCAAGGCGGATATTATCGGAGCACATCACTCAATCACTGCACCATAGGTGAAATACTCCAACAAAGTATCAAGATCTGGAGATGGGTCCTGCTGCTTTTGTCAGGTTCCATAGTGGCATTGGAATAATGCATCAAATGTAAAGGACAAAACTTCCATACACATTTTTTTGTAAAAAACTAACTTAACTTAAGATAAGGTTACCCAAAAGGGGGGTGGGGGTTCCTCTAGTTTTGGTTTGTGGAAATCTTACCAAGTTTGCACACTTTTGGTAAGAAAACACCAACATTTAGTTTAAATTATTTTAGTGTCTACTTCTGCAAAGCTATAAAGTTACATACCAGCGGTTTTAGTAATTTTATTTTTATTGTTTATTTGTTTGGTTACAATCAAAGAGCTTATTTCTTCTTTTACGGGAATCTTTACTGTTTGCATATCTGTGTTTTGTTTTGAAATTGGAATCACTGCAGTATATGCTGTTTTATTATTACTATTATTACTCTGAACATTGTAAAGCGCTTTGGGTGACCTTGACCTTATTTTGTAAACTGTCTGATGTTGCAGAACTTTTGTTTTTTGTTTTGTCCGATGAGGAAAGTTTTTGTTCAAGTATAAGCCATTTCATTTGTCTACGTTTTTGTTAAGTGCATGGCTCCAACAGAAGAGGACACTCTTTGTTTGATGTTTTTTCTGATCTGCCTACATCTGTCTGTCTTATAAGCCCATAGGGGCAAGACACCAAATAAGAAATAAAATAAACCAAAAAAACTAAACTTTGGTCAGTAAAATGCGCTTTATAAATAAACATTACTTATTTACTTACCATAGTTTAGCTTTTTAGAATGATCAACTTATTTGTTTTGTTTGTGTGGATGGATGTGTTTTTAGTGCTACTTCTCCAAAAAGTATCTATCTATATTTTTTATTATGAGGAATTATAAAATAACCCAAGTTCTCACTGAGTCATCCTTCTCTCTAACCTTTCCAATCATTATAGGGTGGGTTTTCTGTTGTCAGCAGACTGGAGATGGGGGCACTGTGCATTTATTCCTACCTCAAGGTCATAGTTATTGGAAATGGAGACATCCAATGTGCTCACATCTCTCTTGAATCCACGCACAATAGACTGATTCCTCTGTGTCATTTTGGCCTCCTCTGATAACAGATAAGGTGGGCCTTTTACCATGCCGCTATTATGGGCTTTATGGGCCCATACACATGCAGATGAAGACCAATGCATTCATCTGCTATTGTAAAATGAGGAATGATTTTATTCATTTCTTCCAGTCCAGGTTTAGCTTCTTTTTTTTCCTGCTAAGCTGTTACAGGTTTTGAAAATTGAGGGGTATTTATGAGAGTGACAAGGGCAAACAGCCCAGCCACTTTTACAATCCTGAAGAAAACAACTTGAAGACGCATGCAGTTCAAAAAGCATGAACCATGTCTTGTAATACAATGTAGACAGATCAACCCATTTAAGTCAAACAGGATGTTATGTTTTAGGAATCGGGGAATCTCTGCATCAAAGATTCTGAATTAATTGACCCAATTATTAGCGCATTTAGCCAAGAACTAGTACATGACACAAGTGTAACATCAATTAGTAGCAGAGTGAGTGTGTGCATCTAAATGTACAATGAGAGAAGAATTATATTAAGAAAAACAGTGAAAGGAATGTCTTATGTGAAGTTGAAACTCAAGGAGCCACAAACTGGCTCTTAAAAAGCGTAATCCTACCCACAAAAGATCATTTTTGTGCTGGATTGCACTGCTCACACAATTTCTACGTGCCAGATAACCATGTTTCTATATTCCAGTTTGCCTAGTCTAGATACTTTAACCACTTCACAAAAAACATGTTTTTGAAATATCAAAATGTTATTTTGATATTGCAAAAATCTTAATTTAAACACCAACATTTGACCATTCTTGTATTTTTTACCCATCATTTTTAAGCATGCAACTCGTCTTATCAGTGTGTCCAGGATGCCCTCCTCGCTCCAACGCTATGGTCTGTCTTTTGGGTGGCCCTTGGTGCCCCCTGTGCACACTCAGACCTAGAAGATGCACTTCAGACAGGGGGCTAATGGGAAAATAAATTACCACCAGGCAAAAGTCCTGCCTCTGCACTTCTGCTGGAGAGAGAGAGGGAGAGATGGTATAGTTTACAACAAGTGAATGGTCAAGTAATGGAGGGTGGAAAAATGGCAGTGAGGACAGAAGTGACTGGTTTAACAGTGACTAAAGAGAATAAAAATGGGAGAAAAATAAATTGGGAATAAAGTTGCAAAAGACGGGTAAAGAAAGGTCAACTGGATTAGAGTCTATTCCTTGTCAGTAAATTGCCCGCTCATCACTTTGCCGACATTTCACCATCTTTCGAAAGATGGCCAAAAAATTCCATTCACTACATTGATGCACAGTGCCAATGCAATCGAAGTATATACAACCAACACAACAATTTTGTTTTCCACGATTTGGGATGGCCTATCAAACAATTGCCCCAGGTGTGAGCTGACTTTTCTCCCAGTCCGCTCCATGACAAAGGT